GTGAACCCAAGGTCACGTGACCCCCGAGGTCACGTGACCCCTCCAGGTCCCGTAACCCCCTGAGGTCACGTGACCCCTCCCAAGGTCACCTCAAGGTCACATGACCCCCAAGGTGACCCCCACGTGACACCCCAAGGTCACGTGACCCCCCAGGTCACGCCTCCCCGAGGTCACTTGACCCCCCTCCCCGAAGTCACGTGACACCCCCCCCCCGAGGTCACGTGACCCCCCTGGAGCATATTAAAGAATGAGGGTAGGACGAGGAGGAGGAAGGGTCTACCCTCCCCTCAGTACCCTTCACTCCTCCTCCTCAAGAGCTGCGCTCCAATTCGGCGTTACAGGGAGTTGTAAATGGCTTTCACTTTTTTTTTCTTGTTTTCTTTTTTTTTTTAACATCTGGCGATCGTTACTTTTTTTTCTTTACAATTATTACTAAGATAAGAAGAAAAAAAAAAGTCACCGAAACTTTGTTGAGTTAACTGGTATGGGATCCCGGTTGCCGGCTGGACGCCGCGTGTACGACGGGGCAAAGTTGGTTAATGATTTTGTAGTTAGCAGCCGCAGACGGTCGGCCGCGAAGCGAAGTGAAAGCAGGCGAGAGGTAGGTTAACACGCTCCCCAGTGATACACGCGCCGTCCTATTTTCTTTTGGGACGGCCCTGGGCGCGAGTGGAGTCTAGTCGGGCGGCACTCTAAACGCAGCCAATACGAAAAAGCAAATGAAAAGGAGATTCGTGCTCCGTCTCATTCCGATGACTTTAAGATAGGATGCTGCTGGATAAAGATGAAGTATCTAGGCGCAAAGGGTCAAACAAAGCGCACGAACTTTTCGGTTGTATCCGAGGGCGACATTCGGCGACGGGGTTTTTGTCGTCCGCATACCGTCGACGAAATGGCGAGAGCACGCACGAGAAGGCTCGGAAGGTGAAAGCCCCTTTCGGTTTACAGCACTTAACCACTGTTGACGCAAATTACCGTCCGCAGAAAATCGGTGGAGTAAAAACATGTGGCAGCCACATTTTCCCTGCTGAATGTTGCGCTCCACGCACAGGCTGTCAGCAGCGAGTTTTTGTTTACGCTGGTTGTTGTTACAGTCGTAGATGACGCAGTGCTGCCCAGAAGAACCCGGGTGTGAATACGCAACAAGAAGTCACGACCAAGAGTTCTTAAAAACGTCAAAAACAATATGCAATGTAGCGAGCGACACGTAAACAGCTACCCAGCATCACAGTCCGATGATTTAGGGTTAGCTTGGATGTCAAGGGGAATCCCGGAAAACCTACTCTCGAAATCAATGACGCTTTTCACAAATTATTTTTCTTCCCTTGGATCGAGGGAAGAGATTTTCCAAGACATATTCTTGGAAATATGTATAAAAAGCAGCAGAGGGAGATTAGCTGCTTTGTCCATCTTCCTTTGACCTCGTCCTCTGTTACGCCTCCACACCTTCTTTTTGTCTTCGTGTGGCTGTGAGCGAGTGCGAAGGCCGCTCCTAGCAAATCAGAGGGGTGGTGCGAAACACGTGACCACTCTCCATAGGACAAAAACGCTTGGACGAAAATTTTTCACGTGACTCGCTCTAACGCGCTGATGGGCTCACTGGGGCCGTAGTCTTTGCTGTATTCCAAGTTATGGTGAGTTGTAGGGGCCACGTAGGTCCGGTTTCCAAAAAGGGCGCTCGTCAGGCGTCAGTGCTCTCCTGTTTTTCGTGAGTTGCAGTCGCAGTCGTGATTTCTTCGCCTGGAACGGCCGGTACACGTCCATACTGACCTTTTGCTACTGGTCGTTTATTTCGTCGATGTCCATGGAATTATTGTGATGTGTTTGTTGGACGCGTTTCGACAGAGAGCTGCTCATCGGTGACCGCAAGACTTCCGTTCAATGTGAGCGACCGCCTTCATCCTCGACGTTTGTGTTTGTGAATTGTTCTGTGCCGCCGGAATTGAATTGTGCATCTATCACGGATTACATGAGATCGGTGTTTTATTTGTAAGTACTCTGCAAGCATGCTTCTTAGTAGTCCTGTTTCCATCTCAATAAACCATTTTACTGTTTACAAACATGAACTGCCGCTTACGTTCCAAGCAACTCCCTAACGTTCCGTCTTTGACCGCCCTCCGAGTTTTGCTTACGTCACCAGTGCTAGACAACATTAAAGTAGGTTTAGGCGAAGGAAGCCTTACTAAAAGATTGAGGGCATTTATTTTCAGCCTCTACGAATTTTTTTAGCTTTCTCACGAACACTTAACATTACGTCACAAATGCTCGCGTTTGAGGTTTGACATTGGTTTGTCGCGAATTCGCGACAGAAGAGGATAAGATCTACGCACGTTCTTCTGGATTGAAAAAAATAAAGTGGTCTACATGTTTCAACTTGTTAGCAATCATTTCTCTGTAAATACTTTTTGATGAAGTGCTGCGGGGGTCAGCGCTTTATGCTGTGGATGTGTTAACATTTTGTATTACCTCCTGCAGCTAAATGAAGTGAGAGTTACTGCGCAGTAGAGCTGGTGAAGGATATTGGCGAAAAAAGGACAAAAGGTCGGGACAACACAACACGTCTCAAAAGCTTTTGAGACAGTGTTGTGTTGTCCCAGTTTTGTCCCAACAACACTCTCTCAAAATGTTTTTGGACAGAGTTGTGTGTTTCCAATTTTTGTCACTAGTCTGGGGGTTTTTCACCATGATCTTCTAGCTGCAGTAAATCCTTTTGGAAGGGTGTACTGCTGCTATCGCACCCCAATAAAATGGTGTAGAGCAGAATCACACCTTTCTGTGAGGGGTGTAAGAATTACACCGGTTTTCGAGGGTGTGAGAAATAACACCTTTTTTCTAGGGCGTTTTTGTACACCAATATGGGGTGAGTTGTGACCCATGACATTCACACCAATAAGGGTGTGAAAATGTTTAGAATGACCATGACACGAAACGTGGAAGGCCTCTATAATCTCTCTCGCCTCCCTATCCTTGTGCGCGCAAAGAACGGTGACCCTGCCAAAGTTAAGCCGATATTTGCTCTGTCTGGAATGAATTGGCAAAAGCCCCCCCAACCGTGGCTCCGAGCGAATACGAATGTTTTCGTAATCTATCATTCAAACATCTTCCTATTCGTCCCAAGTAGCACCTTTTTGCTTGACAAAGGTATTTTACGGGTGTTTTCATCTCAACTCAGGCACGAATTTTGGGTCGAATTTTTAATTTTTGTCTAAAAAATATATGTTCTGGGGCGATTCCTAAAATAAAAACGACGCAAACGGCTAGACCGTCGGATTTTTTTTTTCTCAAGTTATGGACCGTTGAAGCGGCCAAGGTAGAAACTGACGTTTTTCCAGCTTATCGGGGGTGCCATATTTCACCCCATCCCTTATCCCTACTTTTTTACGCTACGTAAATATACATTTTTCGGGAACACTCTAGACGTATTCTTTTTTTATGCTAATTATGTGTCAAGATCATAAAATCCTTACGGTTTTTTTTTTATTATTATTATCAAATCGCCTTTCTGCGACGATATTTGAAGTTCGGCAAGCTGTGCTGTGTGACCTACTCAACATATTTTTATTATCTTTGCATAACCATAAAGCTCCAATTAAGCTCTTTCTTTTGAGTATACTTTGAACATTTTGCAATAAATATATAATGTGCAACATGTGCCTGAAAAATTAATATTTCGAAAAACTAGTAAGTTTGGAGTCGATTTAAAAAAAAAAAAAAAACACCTTTTATTTCTTATTTACAGTTAGGTAATATAGTAGTATAAGAGGAACTACCAACAAAAATTGCAATTGTATGGCCGCTATTAAGACTCGAATCTCGTGCTATGAGCGTTTTGAACGGGACTTCGCACAGGCGCTCTGCTGAGCAGAATTTTGGCCTATGTAAGGTTTTCTATTTATCGTTAGCAGTTATCTCAATATGCAACCATAAACAATCATTAAATTTGGAGCAGTGGACGTGAAAAAAGTTTAGAAGTCCGTATCCACAAGTGAGTGCACAGCGCTTACTTCCTGCCCATCCAGGGGAATCCAGATCGTTAGAATATTCCTCTGGGGCCTTTCGCTTCCGGCTTTGAGTTTGAAATACCGAACTTGATATGCAATTGTCATATTTTCTTATGTCAAACAGATATTTATTGCATATAAATATGTGCAATTGAGTATCTGACGCTTAGGAAGTACGGTTTATTTTGTGCACGTACGGACTCTTTCATAAAATAACGAGCATTTCGTAGCGTGTAAGGCTTAAAATGTGTTAGTCCTGCGTTTAGGTTTCATTTTTATTTTCAGTGATTTATGCCGGGTTACTTAGACTTCTCCATCTTGACTTAAGTTTGTCCGGGTGTCTAGATGTTACGCATCTTCTCCATCAATACATAGGGCGAAGCTCGCACACCTTGCAAATCACCACCGTGCCAAGTAAATAAATATTAATAAAGAGATTAAAGAACTGAGAGCTGAACAGGATGCTCTAAAAGTTGAAAACAAGCGGCTTGCTGACGAGCTTTGTACGGTAAAAAAGGAGCTTCTTGACCTCCAACAATACAGTCGACCATTACAGCGGGCGATCCAGACACGTGTGCTTCTGCCCAAGTCTTATCTATCTTCTGTACTTGCAGAATCTGGACCTTGCAACGGCGATCGGTGAAAGTTATCGGCTGTGCCGCAGCGCTTCCTTCAAGCTGCAAGTCATCACGACACCTTTTTTTAAGCAAACACCGTGGTCCTATCTGCCCGCTTTACATCTGTGGCCTCTGCACTCTTGAGTGGAGGTCTGCGCCGCATTTCCGGTGACGTCGGTCTTTCCAGGACTTGAGCCTATATAAGAAAGTGCTCGGCGTGGTCTACCCCATCACAGCGGGCGATCCAGACACGTGTGCTTCTGCCCAAGTCTCATCAATCTTCTGTACTTGCAGGTGGGTACAGTGATTGGTTTTTGAATTTATTATTTTGTGGTTGTCTGGATCGCCCAGGTGTTGTTTCTTTGTGTTGCTTGTAGTTAGCATGGCAGAAAAACAACCTTCAACCGTAAAGGAAGTGGTGAAGATCCTAGCCGAGGTTTCTACTAAGCTGGATGATATGAACACTAAACTAAGCCATGAAATTAATACCATGAACACAAAATTAGGGACAGAACTGGAGAGCGTAAATCGGTCTATGGACTTTATGAATAAAAATTTCGAGGATTTCAAAAAAGACCTTGCTGCCGCAGTCAAAGAGATTAAAGAACTGAGAGCTGAACAGGATGCTCTAAAAGTTGAAAACAAGCGGCTTGCTGACGAGCTTTGTACGGTAAAAAAGGAGCTTCTTGACCTCCAACAATACAGTCGAACAAATAATTTGGAAATCAAGGGACTCCCACAGAACCCAAACGAAGACCTTGAGACCCTCGTCGCTAAGCTCGCTGGTTGTGCAGGGGTTCAGGTGTGCCCCGCTGACATTGATGTTGTGCATCGTGTACCTTCGAAAACCCAGGGGGTACAAAATGTGATTGTAAAGTTTGTGCGACGTAGTGTCAGAGATGAAGTCTTGTCAAAGACAAAAAAACGAAGGCTTACGAGCGCTGACCTTGGTTTTGAGACCTCTGTGCCAGTTTATATAAACGAACATTTATGTCTCGAAAACAAAATCTTGTTGAGCAAAGCGATCCGCTGCAAAAAGGAAAAGGGATGGAAGTTGGCCTGGGTGTCCCAGAGCAGAATTTTCATGCGAAAAAATGAGACTAGCGACGTCATTTTGATAACCAGTGAAGACGACCTTTCCAAGATTGCGTAGACAGAAATTAGTTTTTGATTTTGTTATTTTTCTTTTTTGATGTCTGAGAACTTTTTTACGCCCCTCGACTTCTATGATTTTCTGGAAGAAAAGCATTCCTTATCAGATACGTTTCTTCATATGAATACTAGGTCAATAAAAAACAAGCATGATGAGTTGCATAATCTGTTTCATGAATTCGGACCGCACTTAAGTGTTATCATGTTTTCCGAGACGTGGTATACAAGCAGTGCAGATTATTTCATTTTGCCCGACTACAATCATATCAGCGTTGATAGAGCTGGAAAAAGAGGCGGTGGTGTCGCTATGTTACTGAAGAAGTATATGAGGTACGAAATATTAAAGCAGTTTTCAATAATCACCGAATGGTATGAAATTTTGACTGTCTTGTTAATGATACTATATTTTCCGTAGTTTATCGTCCCCCAAGTGCTGCCTTTGCGCCTTTTATTCAATGTTTTGAAGAGCTCTGTGGATTTGTAAATGATCATAACTATAGATCTTACATCGCTGGTGACTTTAATATTGATTTGTTTACTGATAGTAACTTGCAATTTGCGTTTACAACTCAGTTTCAATCCTTTGGTTTTTCTAATGTCATCAAGAACCCTACAAGAGTAACAAGTACAAAAACTTCTCTTCTTGACTTGTTTATTACAAACCACGAACATTCCGTACTCTCTGCCGGCGTCATTTCATCAGATATCAGTGATCACCTTCCAATTTTTATATCGGTAGAAAAACGTCACTTCAGACAACGTTACCTTAGCTCGACGATTACATGCCAACCTATCACGCAGCGCCAGTTAGATGCTTTCCGCTATGAAATTGAACATACAAATTGGTCTGTTATTTTTGAAAGTTCATCGGTAGATGATGCTTATAATTCTTTTTTGGACTTGTATATTCGAATATATGGTAAATATTTTCCATTTAAAACCGTAAAACCCTCCAAAAACTCTCGCAAACCTTGGGTCACACCTAAACTTCTCACTATGATTCGCACGAAAAACAACTTATATGGTCAGTTTTTGAAATCTAGGGAAGCCTCGAAACTTCTGATTTTTAAGAAATATAGAAACAAACTAACAAGCACGCTGCGACAAGCGAAGAAAGATTATTACATTAATATGTTTAATATCGATGATATACGTCAAAGTGACGTGATGTGGCAAAGACTCAAAACATTGCTTAACTACAAACCACAGGTTTCTATGCCAGTTGAAATTAGCATAGATGGCTGTATAATATCGGGGATGGATATGGTGAATGCTTTTAATAACTATTTTGTAAATCATACCACATCTCCTGTTTCTACTACTACTGTAAATAATGCACTTCAGTGCATGCCTTCACCCTTGCCTAATTCTATATTTCTTTTTCCTACTGATGTATCCGAAGTATATAATATATGTATGAGTCTAAACAATAGTAGAAGTATTGATGCATACAATATGCAAATAAAGCCAGCAAAGTATGTTCTAGATATCCTAGCACCATACCTAACTTATATATTCAATCTTGCACTTGAGTGCGGTGAGTTTCCCATCAAAATGCAGATTGCCAAAGTTAGTGTATTGCATAAAGGTGGTGATTTAAATAATATTAACAATTTTAGACCAATTTCCATACTTCCAGTATTTTCTAAGCCACTCGAAAAAGTCGTTTCAAATAGAATTGTCTCTCATCTTGAGAAATACCTTTTAATAACAAATTCTCAATTTGGTTTCCGTAAAAGTTATTCAACTGAGTTAGCATTACTAAAACAAAAATAAATAATATTAAGAGCACTAGATAATCGCTTATTAATGATCGGTATATACTTAGATTTCTCTAAGGCCTTCGACACGATAAATCACAATGTCCTCATGGCAAAATTAGAATACTATGGCATTCGTGGGAAAATATTAAGTTTGTTACAATCTTACTTACGGAATCGTACCCAGTTCGTGTCTATATTTAACTTTAAATCTGATATTTCAAAAATAACAAATGGTGTACCCCAAGGCAGCATTTTAGGCCCCCTCCTTTTTATTCTTTATATTAACGATATTGTGAATGTAAATCGGGATCTTAAAGTTCAGTTCATAATATATGCTGATGACACTAGCATCTTCTTTTCCGATAAAGATATTTGTACTCTAGTAACTAAATGTAATACCGTTCTTGAACGTGTAGCAAAATGGACAAAAAATAATCACCTTAAGTTAAATTCGCAAAAAAACCAAGGCCATTTTATTTAAAAGTCAACATGCTACAGTTATGATCCCAAACCCACTGATTTTGAACAATGAAGAAATTGAATTTGTCGACACTATTAAGACTTTGGGTGTTTGGTTTACAAATAGTATGTCTTGGAATAAACATGTTGATAATCTTTCGTCTAAATTGTCAAAAACAGTGGGGTTGCTAACCAAGTTTAAATCGTTGCTACCTCGTTGTGTTAAGCTCCAACTTTACAATGCTTTGGTATATTCCCAACTTAATTATTGTCATCTAGTTTGGGGAAATACAACAAAAACAAATATAAATAAACTACATATTTTACAAAAGAAAGCTGTGCGTGCTATTGCCAATGTTTCATACTGTGATCATACTGAACACTTGTTTTTATTGTTTAATATAAAACCAATTTCAAATATTTACAGGTCCCGACTTCTTGTGGCGTACAAGAAGTCTACGCAGTTTAAAAATAAAGTTTTTGAGGAGTTATGTAACCTAGTCCTTTTCACTTCCTCATATCAACTCCGCCCTAAAGAAAAATGGTTTGTTTCACCATCACATACATTATATTATGACCACACGCTAAATTACCAATTAACTACTTTGTTAAATGAATTATTTTTAAAAGGTGTTGATATTCATGCAATGACGCTGGCAGAGGTACGAGCATTATTTTAGGGTTGTTTTCTTAGGTACAGCTAAGGCACAAGGATCACCGTACCATTGTATACCACAATGAATGTATTAATTTTATTTGTTCTCTTGTTTTTGTTTGATCTGTGGTCTGTACATTTAAAATAGTGTTCTTTCTCTCAATGTAGCTATTTTGTTCGTTTTTGAAATTGCTTAGGAATCGCCTGCTGTAAAGGGGGCCAGGACCTCCGTCAAGCTGCTGCAGCAGCTTTTTGTCTTGGTCCCCCGTTTCAGTGATGAAACAAAATAAAGATTTATTATTATTATTATATTGTTAGGATAAATATTTTTGCTTCACTGGCTTTTACGCTCAGATATTGAGGTACGCACTAACATTAAATAGAAAACCTATCATAGGTCAAAATTCTGCTCAGCTGACCGTCTATGCGAAGTCCCGTTCAAAACACTCATAAAGCGAGATTCGAGTCCTAATAGCGGCCATACAAACAATATATTACAATTTCTGTTGGTAGTTCCCGACAGACTCCTATATTACCTAACTGTGAATAAAAATGAAAGAAATAAAAGTTAAGTTTTTTTGGAAAATCGATTTCAAACTTGTAAGTTTTTCTAAATATTATATATGTTCCGCGTTATATGTTTAGCTCGAAATATTGAAATTATACTCAAAAGAAAGAGCTTAATCGGAGCTTTACGGTGATTTAAAGCTCTGCTGTGTTACCTAATCAAATATATTGATAAGGTCACGCAGCGGAGTTAATTACGAGTTAGTTTATTTTTGTGAGTCACTTGTTTTATATGGCGACAACTGAATGAAAACCAAAATGTGAGCTTTTATAGCCGCCATACAAACAGAATACTGCATTTTCTGTTTATTTTACTCCATAAAGTACTGCGATAGGTAGATAGAGAAAAACAATTAGCGAAATAAAAGGTACGTTTTTTTAAAAAAATCGACCTCAAATTCGAAAAATGTTTGAAATAGTCCTTGCTTTACGAGAAAATACTGCCCTTTCTCGCGCATTGCGCGAGAAAGACAAAGACAGACAAAGACAAAGACAAACTGCCCTTTCTCGCGCATTGCGCGAGAAAGGGCAGTTTGTCTTTGTCGCGCACAAGATTGTATAAGATGTCAAACCAACTCGCCCAAACAACCACCCTTCTTCGCGCACTGCCACGTGCAGCGCCACGTGTTGGACCATTGCCAAGTCTCTTCCAGCTACATATCCCGCAGCCTGGCGAGCGGGAGGGCATACGTGTGGTGGGAGAAAGTCAGTTCTGGTGCATCTGCAGCAGCAACATTTGCGATGTGCCCCACATCGTCCCTCCGAGCGAGCGTAGGACGTTGGTCTTGTCTCGCATGACCTGGATTACGTCCCTCACCATCGACCACCAGTAGAGGCGCTCGTCCAGTTGCACCCCGAGGTTGGTGGCCCTCCCGTCGCAGGGCGCTGCATTACCGATAATATTGAGGGTGTGCTGAAAGGTGCCGAGCCTCGGTGCCTGGGAGAGCGTCTACGTCTTGCCTGGTGACAGGGCCAGTCCCAGCTGGCAGAGTCGGTGAAGAACGTTGTCCAAGACCCGCTGAAGCTACTGAACCGTCGGCCTCTGGCGGTGCCACCTGGCCGTCCCCCACAGTGACACGTCGTCCGCGTAGACGGCCATGTCGATAAAAAAGAACGGGACGGACCTTACCGCCGCGTTTGCCGGCAGCAAGAACATGGCGACCGAGAAGAGCAGGGGGCTGAGGACAGTGTCCTGCGGCACCCCCCGAGCTATGCTCCGCTGTTCGCTTATAACACTGTGCACCCGTACCTGCATCGTGCGATTGCCCAGAAACGCGCGCACGCATGCCACGGGACGGCCAAGGAACGACAGGCTACGCAGGGCAGAGATGATGTTGAAACGGGGCAGCACGTCGGGAGCTTCGCTGATGTCCAGGAAGCTGCAGATGGAGTTCGGCCGGGCGCCGGCTGTCTCGAGGTGGTACTTAAGACGGCGTAGAAGAATCCTCTCCATCGTCTTTCCGAGGCACGGCGTGTACAAGCCTGTCCGCCTGGCTGGCTTGAATCTTTGCCCGCCTTGAGCAGTGGGATGGAGATCACTGTGTGCCACTCAACGGG